TTTTCATAGTAGATATCAGAAATATGTGACACAGGTATGTGAGGTAGTTGTTGTAGAATGCAGCTAATTTGCAGTCTATTGTGCAAACACGTATCCACTTGTCACGCCCTAAGGTGAAGTGTCAGGCATTTCTCCAATAACAGGTAGCAAGCACAGCTCTTAGACATAACTTCCGGCAATTTTTCCAGACAATAGAGATTATTGTTTTGCATGGTTTCCTAATATGTTGGCCATATTTCGCTCTTAGCCTTAGTGTAAATATAGCCCTAGTGAGAAACTTCCACCTAGACCCCAACAGTCTGAAGACAAAAGGCTTGTGAGAAGATATAAATGGGGGATGTAGTGACACACCAGATATATGATAAATCTCTTCCATGGAAGTTGGAGGTAACCCAAAGCATGCTGGGAGTTCCACTTCAAACAAGAACTAAGGAAACACAGGGCCTCATGTTTGAATGTACCAAGAATCCTCTGTTGCCATAACAACCAATCAGCTTCTCTCATGCAAATTAAGCAGTTCTTAGGGAAATGAAGGGAGTTCTACAGACAGGCCTATACAGATATTTTCCCAGTAGATAAAAAAAAAAGGTGAAAACCATTACTGCCCCTTATTGGGCACCATCACTATATTTTTGCATAAAGGTAACTTAAGGAACAGTGCTTTATGTTGTCCACAGTAGCCAATCCAATTATATTTGTAGGGATAACATAATCAACTTTCTACCCAGCTCTTTACCCCAAGGGAACTTAAAGTAATTTTCAGGTCTCAGAGAACTCCTGCTAAATTTAGTTAATTGGGGACCAGTGGGAGAAACGCCCCTTACATTGGTGGTCAGTGGAAAGAATATCCTCTTACAGTGATGGTCAGAATGCCACCATTACAGAGAGCAAAAAAGTTAATTGGTGTCATGCCGCCGGCTCTGCCAAGTGGCATTGGACCCAAAACTATGTAGGCACCATCATATGGGAGGTTAGAGAACCACAGCTCAGGGAACCCCTAGCAAACTCTGTAGGAACCCTGGTTGTGAAAGGCTGCTTTAGATACTTAATGCATGTTTTTTTCTTCATTTACAGTTTCCTAGTGCTTGAAAATCTATAAATAATTCATATTTGGTCTCTTCTGTTTATTATCAGAAGGCTGGGTATGTAAAGATTAGCATTCATGATAGCCCAGGAAGGAAAATGTCTAAGAAACTGGTTTAAAGTATGTTTTATACTGCCCATACCAGTTCAGTCTCTACAGTAAATGAATACACAGCTAGAAATAGACGTGAGGCAGGGCGCACTCTGCTGGTCTGCTTTAGAAAACAATCACAACAGCACTTGTTCCAACAACTGACAAAACATCTTTAAAAAAAAAAACTTTTTTTATTGGCATGGCTGTACATTTAATTATTCTGCATTCTTGCTTTTTCCACTAGAAGGGAAAGGATATTCATGACAGGGCCAATACACTATGTAATGATGAGCACTTCAGTAACTCAGCTATCTGTACACTATTACAGCAGGTCTGGTATACTTTCATCAGAAATGCTGGAAATATCATAGACTGAAATAGTTTGAGTAGCCTGGTCCTGACGGAATTACTCTGGTATGCATCATGTGCTGTAGTGTGGAGTAATGTGGTTGGTCACAACTCCAGAGTATATTATGCCTTTAGGGTTTTTGGTGGGCTTATGATTGGTGTTATACACAGCGAGAGCCCTACCTGAATGAGATCTGCAGATCGTGGTAAAGTCTAGCTTCTAGTAAGGATGTTTGGGGACTCTATGGCCCATGCTGTCATAAGTTCAGAAAATGTGTAACATAAGAAAGCATGACAGGTACTTTTAAGCTCCAGAGTTACTTGCAAATTCTTTCTTGGTATCAACACTTAACCACTGCCAAATACCATGCAGCCCTTCAACTAGAAAGTGAATAACAAGCAAAACCGCATTAAAGAATCTGAGGCAACCAATACCTGGTGGGATATATTATCATGTAGAACCGAGCTAAAGGCCTGTAGCAAAAACACTGAAAATGGAAAGGCCACGCGGCCCACTATTACCAGGCCTTGGTCATATTTTATGTATAACCACTCACTGTCATTCAGCGCATATACAAAGATTTAAAGGAGCGATTGTATCCCTTTGGCATGAGGCATTGTTCAGGGGGTTTAGTTCTAACATCATGCCTACTATTGATATGCAAAATATATCATATTAAACAGAAGTGGATGGACCATCTTTTTATAAGCCGATCAAGAATTTATTCCAATCCATTTTTTTTGTTACCAGCAGAGCTATTTTTTTCTTTTGTTTAGTTTGCTGCACTTAAAAAAAAAACAACAAAGTTGCCATTGATCCTAATGAGCTTTAAGTTAAGTCCAGCATAGCCACTAGTACAATGGCAGCATTAGAACGTGGTTAGCATGACAATTGTGGTTATAAAGACACAGTTTAGCTCTGAATGTAAAAAACAAATAGTATTATTTACTCTGGATTTTACACTACTTGCAGCCATTTCCTTACATCTTATATGTTAATTTAGTCCAATCAACAAGTTGAAAAGAGTGATTTCCTCAAAGCGACTTGGCAACACTTGCTTTTACTTTACTTAGACTAGCTTTTGCTTGAGGCATCAGACAAGATGGAGGAAAAGATTAAAAAACAAAAACCCCAAAACAGCAATTTAAAAGATTCTGATCCCTAAAAGGGAATTTGACAAAAATCAGTATGTATGAAAAAATAAAAACTGCTTTTTAATTAAGAGAAGGCAGGTTGCTAAAGCCATAAAAATACTTTATCGTATGTTTAACTGCCTCAGTGATTCACTTCAGCAGTTGTAAAAACAAATTTAACACATGGTAATAATCTAGGCAGACACAGATAGCAACATTTCAGCGCAGACGCTAATGGTTAACTTTGTAAGGTAAAGAGCAGCTTAAGTTTTAATCCGCATTTAGGAAGATGCTAGGCCTGCTGATAAATAAGTGTTAGCATTGTCGACTACCTATCTAGCATCCTCGCATGTTGCCACAGGACACTGGGCACCCTTTGTGACTGCATATGTAATAATTAAAATGTTTCTGTAGATTAGCAGTCTTTAGACTGGTTTAGGCCGGGGGCACCGTTGCTTAAGAAGTATCCACATTCACAGTAAGCTTAGTCCTATAACGTTAAAGTTTAATTATTTGGAGATGGAATTTAGTTTATATAAAAGAAGTCTTCTGCATCTATTATTCAGCATACTGGCACTGCGGAGCATTTGAATTCTGGAACAGATGCTCTGCTTGCTGGATGCCATGTAATTACTGAGTGGAGAAGTAAATTGCTGCTACGGCATTTCTTAATTTCAGGGTCAAGTATTTCCAGCGCACTCAAATTCTTTTGCTTGTCACTCTCAGCACCTTGCCAGGTTGACCCTTACATCTAAAGGCCTAGCGAAAATATCTGCAGGAATGATTTGTACAAATCAGAACCTGATTGGAATTAGGATTTGATTATCTCTATAATTCAGTTTTTTATTTATTTAATGCTTGCTTCGAAAATCATCTGTCAGTACAGTAAACGAAAACAATGAATTTGTTACCTGAACATGTTTGAGGCAGCTTTTTTGTCTCTCTCAATGGATCGGTTGGCACAAAAAAAAAATTAATTACAAGTTTATGTGTATAATAGTGCACACACAGCTATTAACAAGTCATTATCTATACTGAAAGGTCTGAGATCTTGGAAGAAGCTGCAATTTGGAATCCCAAATCCAGCTCCCAAATTCAAAAAGCTATTAGCCTCTTGAGTGGTAGAAATTTTCCAGCAAGCTGGATTATAATAATAATAATAAGAGTTCTTACCAATTAGGAGGTAGATGTTAGGAATCAGGCTGCCAGTACACATAAAATTGCAGCTGGCAAATACACTGTGGTGCCTCTTCTATCATTAGTGGTGTCACACGTTCCCTGGTTTATAAGAATCACATATTGGTTTCTCAATTACTTACTATTCATTTTTTTTTTTAAATAATATTGTTTACTACGGTTCTAATCCAGGGGTGGGCAAGGTAATATGGTATTCAGAAGCTAGTAGTCCATTCCAGAAGCCAGCAGAAGAGTTTTAGGAGTCAGTTCAATTGACAACAACTCAAAAGTTAGGTGCCAGCTGTAATTTTTAAGGAGCATTGACTACCTGGCCCTGTCCTAATGCTTATTGTCTGTACTATTCAATTTTTATATGATGAACTGCATTAACTTATTTCACTCAACTGATATTTAAAAAAACTGGACCAAAGAACAGTGGAAAAAAGTAGATACTGCCAACAGCAGCTAGCCAGGAGTCATCTTTCTCATTTACAGGGGAACTGCTATATTTTTTGCTCCAGGTTTCCTTGCCCTAGTTTTATACATCAGCACTTGATACAACAGGATAGAAGCTTCCTAGTAAGTGTGCATACAGAATGTTTAAAGTTGTTTTGTTATTGAATAAATGCTTCCCAAAATAGTTCTCTTCCAAGGCCGGGCCTAGAATCTACAACATAACCCTAGCTCTTGCGTGCAGCTGAGCAGGAATGGCTCCCGGACCTGGTTATCTATTACATGTACAAAAGTGGTGGACAGCAAGGGAATGTGCTGGAGTTTGTAATCGGAAAAGACAGGTGTCACCGTTTGCTAAAGTAATTTCTCTGCAGTTGGTTGATTGAAGCTGACGTCAATTACAGTTGCTCTTGGATGGATGCACTGAAATGGCTGATGTGAAATACTAGAAAACGTGGCAGCGAGTGGTACCATGCTCCTGACCTCTGGGATCTTTGAGGTCTGAGCAGAGAACAGAATCAAGACCTTAGTCTGTTATAATGCACAATGAATATACCTCAATCAGCCAAGCATGCTATATCAGTTGTCAGATTGTCTGCCTATATTCATTATCAATAACTAACACATGCTTACTTTTTTTTGTTTTTTAGGAAATTCTTACAGCAAGAAATCCTTACAAGGAACTAGCACATCATTTTTTATAATTTTTTTTGCAAAAGAAAGCTTCTAAACTTCACAAAGCACGAATCGCTTCCAGATATATATCTTCCACAAATTTTTTTGCAATCAAGTTTCACATCCAGCTTGGAGCCAGAAATGTTTTCACAGCGGGTGTCAATGTTTGGGGTTTGTGACTACTGTACAGAGAGCATTCATGGCTGATATTTTCACAGGGAAGCATGTACCTACTTTGAATGCACTGTTTATTTAAGCTTTTACATTATGAATCGTTCCCCTGGTGTGGAGTTAATTTTACTGGTCTTGCAGAGGAGCCTTTGTACACGAAAAGGCAGTTTCTGGCATAAAAATTAAAGACAACCAAAGGGGATTATAAAGAAACCTTTTAATTGGCAGAGGAGGAATCGCCACGTGGTCGCAGGAAACTCAACACTGCTCAAGTGCACGATTTGGGAGTCGGTGGTAAACGTTTGCTGTGATGTGGACAAGAGATAATGAAACTCTGTACCTTCTTCCTTGAGTTAGGATTGTTTGAGTAAATACTTTGAAAGAGGGACTGCTAAATGAGATAACCCAGAGCTCGTTATTCTGGGAACATAAGGACTTCACAAGAGCTTGCCCTCGGGAGGATTCAAGGGAACATCATCTGACACTTCTTGAGCAGGTAGGTCTGCGTCTAGCTCCTAGTAAGTGCTGATAAAGGAGGGGAAGAAAACAAGTAAGGAAAAGCCACTGATAAAAATAAAGAGTGTCATGACACAGGTTGTAACGCAAGATGTCTTTTAGAATCTTCTGTGTCAGTAACACCTTTGCAGCATCGGTAACCACAATCATTTTAGCTGTGCTAGAAATGTATGAGATAGGAAAATGTCTGTTCATCCGTGCTGAGCACAAAATATAAAAGTACCCATGTGCCGAGATAAATCCCTGTACACTACAAAAGTGTAGCTGCTCTACAGTTTGCTAACAAACTGAAAATAAAGCCGATGCTGTCTAAGAGTAGAATCATCAAAGGGGAATGGGGGGG